AAAAAAAAAAAAAAAAAAAAAGGCATTTCGAAGACTGTAGGGTGCTCATCAATGCAGCGTCAGAAATTGTCCATGAGGATTCACAGACAATAGAAAGAGCTGAAACTTGATATATGTAGCAAAAAAAAAAGCATGCTGAGACACTCAGCTGGGTCTTTGTCTTGCCAGTGACCTAAACCAATTTAATCCAGTTTAATTTTGTTAAAATATATATTATCTGACCAGTGTAAAGTTACACACTAGACTTTTATCAATCACAGATATCTATCACACAGGAATATGCATGTCTCTGCAGGGCAAGGAAGGCAAAACCAGCAGGTGTTACTTATTGTGAGTTAACTTACCACAAGATGTCACCAGTGTCAAATATAAGAACGTATAAAAAACAGGAACTGTATTTGCAAAGCTGATTTACAAAAAATATATCCTGTCAAAATCATTACTGTTGTAAAATTTGGGCTTGTTAAATCTGGAATTTTTATAATACATACAAGTCATTGGTGGTACACCAATGTATAATTTTTCTAAAATCTCACCTATCATTTCTGTTTATTAGTACAAAATGATTATAAGTATGATGGTTTTTATTTATGTCTCCTGCTCACAGCGCATTGTGTCAAAGCTACTGTTTCTCTGAATAATACTAGAAGAATAATACTAGAAATGGAAGTTCAACAGATTCAGACGCATGAGAGGTCTTTGTAAGCTAAGAGAGGAAACATATTCCCATCTGCCTCCAACTTTCAGAAGAAATGTTCTCTTAACTGTATTGTGAGTCTTTGAAAATTTACCCTGCAATACTGTGAAGCAATTTTTTTTTTTTTCTAGAATTCATTTTGAAAGGGCAAAGTGTATTCCAAGAGCACTTTTTAGAGATGAGGTGTGAAACATTTTTTTAGTGGTGCATTTTGGGACATCCCATTAAGGTAACCGTTGATCATTCACAGTATCCATCTAAAACAAACTACATGCTGTTCTCCTGAGAAGTTTGCTGGTAAATACTGCATTCAATATCGCTCAAATTTATTTGGGAAGCACAGTGTTGCAAGGCAGTGGAAATTCTGTTGTAGTGCTGAGGTGCTCAGCATGGCCCACTAGGTCTCAAGTCCTGAATCTTTATAGCAAGGCATCAAAACTCAAATACTGCCTCTCAAACGGGCAGTCTCAATCTTTGCAAACCAGTAAGGCAGGGCATACAAGTGTCATGAGCAGGAAGAGTTGCAGAGGTGTCTCTTTTCTTCTTTTCTTTGACATTTGTCTTTCTGTCTTTTTGATGACCCGATTTGGAATCTTCTTTAAAATCTCTTTTCCAGATGCCTCAGTTACAGATAAATTGCACAGAGTGCAGTCAGGCTGTTTGCTCCTTCCCTATTGCAGCTTGATGGAAGACTAATCCTCTCACCCTTCCTTCCTTTATGTCCTAATTATCACAACATCATTCTTTCTATAGGATCTGACATTAGATCTGTCTCCTCCCCTGTCATCTACTAAAGACCTATTCAGACATCAGTTTTACTGACTGCATTTGTCACAAAGGGTTATAATATACTATGAATACTAGCAATAGTGGAACTAATTGCATTTGGATGAATAGTGGATTTAAAGTATGAGCAACATGAAAGCCCACTTGTAACTTCTAAGCGTAAGTATTCAGCTCTGTACTGTTTAACTCGGCAGTAAAGACGAAATATCTAGGTAGTGTAAAGTGAATGTACAATGGACCAGTGTGTCTTCTATTGCAGTCAAACTGTCTTAGCTTTACATTTCCATCTGCTTCATCTTCTTGTTGTACATATGATATCACAAAGTAGAAGCCACTCACCAGTGCTTCCAGTTTCATTATGAAGTAGTAATGATCTCATTTTGGAGAATGTAAAGCAACAGCATAGAGAACTTTTGCTGTCATCAGTGGCAGACACAGAGAACAATGCAAAACTTGAAGGACTCTCAGATCCAATATCCACAATATATTACCTAAGGCAGTTCTTGGCATTGGCAGGAATCTCTCTCCCTGTCTTTTCTTCTAACCTAAGGGGGATTTTTTTTACAGACTCATCCTCTTAAAACAAACTGTATACTGCTTGGATGAATACACAGGGGAAGAAATGTCTCCCTTTTCTGCGGATAAAACTGTTAGATATATAGCATTAACCCAAGACAGGTGTTTTCCTTTTTATTTTTATTATACTGGTTTCTGAATTTATTCTGCCAACAGGACTTACTAATGGTTTAAATTAGCACTATTCAAAGTTCTCTGTTGCTTGTTTAGATGAAGCTAAATGTGCAAATTCAGAGACTTGTTCCAACATTCGTATTCATGTGGTGTGTTATAAACTGACTTCTTAAAATTGGCTGAGTCAGAGTACCCAATTTCTTTATTTAGCAAGCGGCAACAAGTAAAACAGCCCTGGGCAGCCGGGGAGTCTCCTGCTCCAACAATGGACCGCACCCTCCAGGGCACTCTGTTTCAATCTTATACTACAAAGTATTACATAGTCATTATACACATATACATATTCATTACTTGAACCCGCCCACTCCCGCTCAGTTCTTTACGCTTGCACAGAAGTTGTTAAATCTAGGGTCAGGGGTCTTCAAATCGTGGGGGGTGGTCTTCTGGGAGGAAGGCCGCAGGTCCTCCTCACAGTGTACGTTTCACCTTTCGCTTGGAATGTGATGATCCTCTGAGTTTGCAGAGTTCTTATCAGTCTAGGCCCAGTAATCTCTTTGCATAATGAGATTCATCGTCGTGAACATCCTCCTGTTTTATTCAATTATGCGCATGCAGTTCTCCACATATTCTGACGTACAGATGCTTCCTCTCTTGTTGTTCCCCCCTCCCCTTTCCTGTCACTTTTTTTTTTTTACACTATCATGTTAGTACAATTAAGCATTTGCTGTTAGTATTACGCAATATGAAGTAGTTCATATTACAGTTCACTGAATTTGATGAACAAACGGTTTACCACCTATCACAATCCCCCCTTTTTCTTTTCACCATGTTGTTCATCAAATCTTTTGAGTGCTTGCTGGCTCAGGATGAAAGTTTCCTCCATTTTTGATGTTCCTCCCAGAGGTTCATACTTAGTTCCCATGATCATTAAATGAGCTGTTTCTAATTTATTCTTAATGATTGCTACTATCTTATTGAATATACAAGGACCAAAAGTTAAGATTAAAATTAATAATATGAACAGCCCTGCTCCTGGTACCCAATCTGAGGCTATAGTCTCACATCCCCAGTACTTAAAATAGAATTGGTCAGGATAATTGCAGTAGCTTTTTCCTGGGTTGGAACTGGGGCAAATATAAAATCCTGAATCCTGGGTGCAAGGTGTTACGGGCACCAGTGTACACAGGGGACTTACAAATGATGGTGCCCCTGATGTTATTATAGTCTGTATTTGCTTTTGGTTACCTCTTTAAGTAGTTAGGGTCCATTCAAAAGGTTGATGGGGCTGGTGGTTCAGTCCAGCCCATGCTTGTGGTATATGCGTTATGAGTAGTATGCTCAGAATGGATTGAGAAGGGTGGAAACTCCATTTCTTTGTTATCCAGGTAGTCCAATAAATCCAATAGAAGGTTGGTAGGATTCTGAAAGTTTTCACAACTTCTATAGAAGGGGGGGAGTGCCTTGCTTCTTTAGAGTCAAGGTGCTTTGCACCCCTTTCTGGCCTTTACTTCTTGGGAGCCTTTTTTTCCCTCAGAGTAGGGTTTGAAGTTTTTTCCCACAGGTGTACGTCTCTGCCTCCTCTGCCTACTCTGTTGCGTAGAGCAGCAGTGGTATTCTTCTTCTCGGCAGCAGTCGTATTCTTCAGGGGTACGTTTTTACCTCTACTCCAGGATACATAGGCCTCCCAGTTTTTAGCTTTAACCTCAGGCCCTTGACAGGGAATTTGAAGTTGGTATTTTGTAGGCCAGTTAGGGTGAGTGTACTGTTTTTTTGTGGTTTGGGTTTTTTTTGGTTTTGGTTTTTTTTTTTTTTTCAGGATTTATTCCTTTAATACCTATTTTCCACCAAGTTTTAGAGTTGTGGGGGTTTGTTTGTTTGTTTTTCCAAATTGTTTCCCCCGTTGTTATTCCAATTTTAAGACCCAGTTAGTTAGTCTCTGTTCCAGTCAGTAATACTGGTTACAGCTAGATCGGAGGTTCACCTCAAATGTATTATGAATCCACCAGTCTTCATATGTTATAATCTATACACACAAAAGGTAAACAAATACAGGTTTCAACTGGACAAAAATATTAATGTCTCACTTATTGAGTCCTTTTGTGGTGTCTTGTACCTTGATTTTCACAGTGTTCGTTTAGGTCTTTCGAAGGGTGAGTTGTAAATCCCCGGGAGAGCTGGTCTCTTGCCAGGATGAATCTCCTATCGGTCCTTTTACACGACTGGTATGCATCCACCTCTTCTCAGCAGTTCGAATAGCATTTTCTGTAGTGATAAGAACAACATAGGGTCCTTCCCAACGGGGGGGTCAAGGAAGATTCTTGCCACGATTTAATCAATACTTTATCTCCTGGTTGAATTGATGCATTGTTATGTCCAAAGGAGGCCTTTGTACCACCATTCCCCGGGCTTGTAGTTGTTTTCTCCTTGCCATTAGTTGTATTAGGTAGGATATTATTCTTGCATCTTTAATTTGAGGGTGATCAGGGGGCATTTCCAAATCATAAGGCATTCCATATAACATTTTAAAGGGAAATATTCCGGTATCTGTTTTAGGCTGGGTTCTGATAATTAGTAGGGCCAGAGGTAAACATTTAACCTAGGACATCTTAATTTCCTGTGAGTGTCAGGGTTCTCCTATTCAAATGCAAAATAATCTCTACATTCTGCTTTAAGAGGGCAGGCCCAAAATGCATCGTTTAGGTCGATGACACTATACCATTGATGTTCACGGTTCAATTGGCTTAATAGCGTGTGAGGGTTTGGTACTACTGGAACCTAGTAACAGTTCTTTTGTTGATTTCCCTTAAATCATGCACTAATCTGTAACTCCCATCTGCTTTCTTAACGGGCAATATTGGAGTATTAAAAGGCGACATACAGGGTTCCAATAGCCCCTTACTAAGGAGTCTTTCTATTTCAGGCTTTAAGCCTATCCTGCCTTCTTGCAGCAAAGGATACTGTTTGATTCTGGTCGGGATCTCTGGGTTCCTAATAGTTACTTCAAAGGGGGTAATATCCAATCTACCCACTGTCTCTGGGGTATACCATACTTCTGGGTTAATCTCTTCTTCATTCACAACTGTAAGGGGGTATAATCTGACTTCGAGTTGTTTTTCTTCCACTTCTGAACTAATTCCTAATTCTATAATCAGATCCCATCCAAGAAAATGATAATCTACTTCTGGGACTAATAAAAATGTTCCAATCACATATTTACATATTGATTCAATAATTATATTATGAAGAACCAGAACTTAAAACGGTTCACCTTTAGCCCCTATTACATTAACTTTTTCTGATGATACCTTACAACCTGGAGGTAAAGCCTGGATGGTAGATCTTTCGGATCCTGAGTCCACAAGGAACTCTACCTCTTGTCGCTGAGGACCCACTTTAAGTTTTATCAAGGGCTCCTTGTTCTTTGGGGTCCCCAGCACATAAAGCCCCTGACCCCACTAATCTTCAGAGAACATTTTCTCATCTTGGATTCTCTTTCGGCAAACCTTCTTCACATGCCCTTTCCTTTTGCAATAAAAACATTCCACTTCCCTCATATTTTTATGCACCAAGTCGGAGGGATGACTGCCTCCTTTCCAGAAGCGTCTATCCTTTTGTTCTCTGACAGGCCTTCCCATCGCTGCTAAAGCTCCTCTCTGTCCCTCTCTCACAGCCATTGCTAACACCCTTGTTTGCTCTCACATTTTTTTCTCTGGTTTTCCTCCTCTCTTCTAACATAAACTTTCTGAGCTTTTCTCAGTAATTCATCCATTCCTCTCTCTTGCCAATCCTAGATCTCTTCCAGCTTCTTCCTAATGTCTACCCAGGACTTAGCCACAAACAGTTTTAACAAAGCCTGCCCCACAGAGGTGCCAGGATCTACTCCTGAGTATAACTGTAAGCTTTTTCTCAATCTTTCAAGCCATTCAGTAGGTGTTTCATCTTTCTTCTGTTGTTCACTAAAAGCTCTATTAATATTCTGCCCTCAGGGACTGATTCTTTTATACCTTGGACTATAATCGTCTTCAGGTCTTGCATATGGCCTCTATCAATTTCATTCTGATTATTTCAGTTAGGTCGAATTAGAGACCGCTTCATATCTGTTGCTGGGCTCTGCTGATGCTGGTCCCAGATTCTCATTCCTGCCCTCCTGATCATGTCTCCTTTTTTTTGGCAGTGAATAATATAGCTATTATGGCTTGCATTTCATCCCAGGTGTAAATATTTGGTCCTAAAAATTGATTCACCCGCTCTGCCACACCTAGGGGGTCCTCCCATTGCAACCTCCCTTAGGGGGTACAAGTTGCTGTTGCCTTGTCCTGCTCTAGTCTGACTCCGGGTTACTCTTCTTTGTTCCCTCGGGGAATTTGGTGGGGAGTCTGAATCTCCCGGGTATTCTGGTGCAGTTGGGGGAGTTGAAGGCTCCTGAGGTGGGCAGGGTGATTTCCTGACTGGGTCTGTCCCACTGCAGCAGGATCAGAAACACCAGTCAGAACATCATCAATATATTGATATATCTTGACCCCTTCCCTAGGAGGGATTTGAGCAAGCTCCTGCACTAGTGCATAATGAACAATGGTCAGTGGATGGCAGTATCCCTGGGGGAGATATGTAAAAATAAATTGCACACCTTCCCATATAAAGGCAAAGCCATCTCTGTCTGCCTCCTTTATTGCAATCAGTTTAGCTATGTTAGGTACTGCAGCTGTTAGAGGACCTGTATGGACATATAATCGCCAATAGTCAACTGTCAGTCGCCACTTTCCCTTAGGTTTATGGACTGGCCACACTGGGGGATTATAGGGTGAGTGACTTGGAATGATTATCGCTTGTTCTCGCAGCTCTGCTCTTACCAGAGCAATCTCTTCCCTGGAACACAATGGTAAGGCGTAAGGTTTCACATTAACAATTTTAGAAGGAGGAAGTGCAGGCGCTTGCTGTAAAAGTCTTATAGAGGAAGTTGGGGACCAAGATTTCCATTTTCTTCCTTTTGAATCTACCCAGGCTTGTCCCTTCAATAGGTCAAGTCTCAGGATATTTGTGGAAAAATGTTTTAGAAATGTAATAGTTTCTGTTGCAGTTTCATTCCCAGGTAACCAGCATTTCACCCGAGCAGTCGGCTGTGGCTTAGAGTCCCCGAAAACATCTGTAACCCAAATCTGCTTCTTGCCAGCAATTATGCTATTCCACTTGGTAATATCAGTTTGGAGTGCTGAGACCTAAGCACCCATATCTACTAGAGAAATAACTGGAGTTTTAAGGGAGCCAAGCGGAAAAGTAATCAACAGGTCTCCCTTGGTATTTTCTGTGAGACTCTTTAAGTGGACCCACACGCCATCCCCCAGCTCACTTACTGGGGATGGCATGTCCAGTTTTTTGACCCTAAATCAATCAAGTCCTCTTCAGAGGCAGTTGGTGTTTGTGAAGCAATTACCACCATCTCGTGAGTTTTCAGTTCTGTCCCTCCCTTTGACCGAAAGATCTGCTCGGCTGGGGTGGGTGGGGGGCGGGCAGCTTCCTTCTGCCTCTGCCTTTCCAGGCTCAAATGAGCTTGCTTTTTTTTTTTTTTTTTTTTTTTTAAACTGTAGTAGGCAGATCATGCATTAACTCTCGGAGAATCCCCTGTCTCATTCCCTCAGTCCACAAGCGGTTTCTCTTTGCTCTTAAAACTTGTGGAGGGGAAGGAGACAGATTTTCCTGCTTTTCCATTCTGTGTAAGGAGGGCTTAGGTTTACCCGTTCCCCTGATAAGGCCCATCCTCCGGCCATAATTTATTAAGTCCTGAGCTATCTCTTCCCAAGTTATGGGCTCTCCCCCCTTGTGAGGCTAATGCATTCCACAAACGATCCTGTAATTGTACTGCATGTGATTTCAAAGAGTCCGGCAAGCTCTGAATCAGGGGAGTCATTTGATTGGGATTACCAATTATTAGCATCGGGGCAGGCAGCTGCGGAAACAAACAGCTGTCATGCGTTAATTGGAGACAAGCAGCCTTCTGCAGACTTTCAGTCAAATGATTTATGGTTGGGATCTCAATACATACTGGATCCCTCCTTTCCAAGGGGTCCAGACTCCCAGCCCAATAAGCAGCTTGTTGAGTTAATGACCATGGCTCTCTCTGGTCGTCAGTAACTAAGAAAACCCCTGGCCCCCAGTACCCTTGGGCCTCATCTTCTGATAACAAAATTCGGTCGCCATCAGTCAAAGATACCCTCCACACATACTCAGTCTCAGTTTCTTGAGCTCGTCTGGTATATTTCTCCTGAATTTTTGCAAGCTCAGTCGCTGGGTATGGTGTAGATCGAAAGGTGACTTGTGGAACTTTCCCACCCTGACCCTCGGTGGTCTCCGTTTTAATTAATGGTCTTAAATATGCCCCCTCATTTTCGGGGTAATAAATTTCTCAGCTTATCTCTATATCCTTTGTTGGATGCAATGGTCTGGCTGCTGGTTTTGTCAGACTTGTAAATTCCTGTTCACTATCTGGAACAGAGCCAAGATCTGTCCGGTTGCAGGTTTCTTGTTCATTCATCTCTTTTTCAGACCATGAGGTCATTCATTCATTCATTCATTCATTCATTCATTCATTCATTCATTTTCCCCCCTCCGGTCTAAGGCATCTAACAGAGCTGTTCTTTTTGCCTTTTGATCAGCAAGGTTATTCTCTCATATTAGTGGGTTTAGCCTCCTCTGGTGTACATAAATGTTTAAAGTTTGGCAGACCCACTCTTCAAAGGACCCAAAACCAGGCCAATAGAGATGGTCGCCCCTGATTTGTTTACCTTCTCAAACCTCTATACAATAATAAATCATTTTTACTTTGTCCTTACCCCGCCTAAAAGGGGTAATTTTCCCAATTATTTAATGTCAATCCTAAAGGGCTATCCGGTGGCATCTGATGGTACCTCACCTGGGTTCCCACACCACCCATGGGATCAGAAGGCTTGCTCTTCTTCTGTCCCATCTTCTGGAGCATCTGCACACACTCACACAATTTACTCCCCCTTTTTGTGGCCCAGTCCCTCGCGGGATATGGGAACCGCACTACTGAGGGGTCCGCACTCGCTTCGCCCTGCTGGGCGTCTCACACACCACACTCCAGGCAACACAATTCCCAACCGAATGGGAAATCGGCCTATACTCACGCAACCCTGTGCGTCTTCGTCCAGGACTTCGTGCACAAAGGTTATGGGGTTAACCGGTGTTCTTTTGCTTGTTGCTGAATTTTAGGGTTTGTTGGTCGGGGCTCTGGCAGACCAGTCCGCAGGCGGGGGCCACTGAAATCCAGCGGGTCACCTCCCCAGTATGGGACTCTGCTGGGAAACCGCGATCCGAGTTGCGGCATCAATTTGTTATAAACTGACTTCTTAAAATTGGCTGAGTCAGAGTTCTCAATTTCTTTATTTAGCAAGCGGCAACAAGCAAAACAGCGCTGGGCGGCCGCAGAGTCTCCTGCTCCAACAATGGACCGCACCCTCCAGGGCACTCTGTTTCAATCTTATACTACAAAGTATTACATAGTCATTATACACATATACATATTCATTACTTGAACCCGCCCACTCCCGCTTCGTATGGTAATTAGCTTATCAGTCCTTTACGCTTGCACAGAAGTTGTTAAATCTAGGGTCAGGGGTCTTCAAATCGTGGGGGGTGGTCTTCTGTGAGGAAGGCCATAGGTCCTCCTCACGGTGTACATTTCACCTTTCGCTTGGAATGTGATGATCCTCTGAGTTTGCAGAGTTCTTATCAGTCTAGGCCCAGTAATCTCTTTGCATGATGAGATTCATGATCAGGATTCAACATCCTCCTGTTTTATTCAATTATGCGCATGCAATTCTCCACATCTTCTGATGTACAGATGCTTCCTCTCTTCTTGTTCCCCCCTCCCCTTTCCTGTCACTTTTTTTTTTTTTTTACACTATCATGTTAGTGCAATTAAGCATTTGCTGTTAGTATTACACAATATGCAATAGTTCATATTACAGTTCACTGAATTTGATGAACAAATGGTTTACCACCTATCACATGGTGGAGTTGCCTAACGGACATTTGATAGGGTAAACATCTTCTCAATAGCATATACTCATGAGAAAGGAGGTACATGAGTCTCATTCTGTGCCCAGTCTTTCTCCTAGCTTCTGATCTCAGAAGATAAAATGTTAATGCATTATCATCTGCAGTGAGACAAAGCCCAGAGGAAAGAATACTGGAAGGAAATAACTGAAATATGAGGCCAAGATAAAAAGAAATTCAATAGCTGGAAGCATCATTAACATGTACTTGTGAAAAAAAATAAAATCCCATCTACACACTGTACAACAAATTTCAAAGAAGTAATAAGGACTGGCAGATACAGTGCTATTTCTTATAATCTTTGAATGAAAGAAAGCCTCCAGCCACTACTTGTTGAAAGAGTAGGTTGTGCAGTGATATCTCTGATCTTCCAGAAAGAAGAAGAAATATGGCAGAGGACTGTGAAATCCAACTACTCAAAAGTTGATCTTGTATAAAGGACAGAATGAGAAATTTTACTCCTTCTTGCAGAGAAAGAAGACATTCACATTTTCCAAGTCAGTGCCAAGAATCATCGAATATCGGTTTTAATAGTTCTAAGAGCTCACCAGTCACCACTACTGATTTACAGGATTTAAAATTGATGGATTTATCTAACTTAACCTCATCTGTGTCATGGAAGAGTGCATGGTCTTATCAAACCTGTTATTCTGCTTTTCTATATCTAGATATCCATAGCAGTTCACTTCTCAGCACTGCAGGTACCTAGAACAAGGCCACAACATGGGGCCTTGTAAATTCAACTCAGCATTTTTAGATGACAGGTCAGATCTCAACTAACAAAACTGTGAGGATACTTTCTCAGCACTATTACTTTGATGGGAGAATGCCAACAAAGAGGTCTTAGTGAACTCATTTGCTGAGCACCATTAATTTACGAGTTGAAAGTCAAAGGGGTTTGAGATGTGCATGGTCATTGTATCAACAACACTACTGCTAGCCTGCTGGTGTTATGTCAAGACAAAAGATGTAATGTTACTGGACTGACATATCACATTATTATATGCTGCTAAATTCATGGACAAAATAACATAGCATGATTGCTATGAAGTTCATATCTTCCTTCTCTGACGTAAGAGAATATGCAGCACCAGCTTCTTTCCTGTTGGATTCTTCAAACCTGAGTTGAAGAAGCTATTCAATCTTGAGTTGAAGTTGTTTCTTTCTACCTTGAGTTAGTCTGTTATGTCCATCATGTTCAGGATTGGGGCTTTTGTGGGGTTTGTTTAAAGTCTTTTCTGAGAGAAACACAGTTTAGGAATCACACAGATTTGCTTACAGCAAGCAGGTTGAAGAGTGGTGAAACATTAAGCAATATATTCTAAGCAGCCCTCCAAACTACTTCACTGTTTCATAAGATCCATGTGAGCCAGTGACATCATTTGTAACACCTGATTTTTCTGATTTTCACACGGGGTTTTTTTTGCTTGGTTTAAATAAGGATTTAGTTTACAGTTGTTACTTACATCTAAACCACTTCCTTCTTTTAACCTGTCATCACTTTTAAAATATGGCTTCAAGATGAACTATTGATGGAACAGTTCTCTGAGTAACCAAAATTCTTCTACACATTGTGCACTTCGTCAGTGAATTCATTTCTTAGCATTGGCTATGTGCAAGATTCTAAGATCAGTTAGGAAGATTTCAGTTATTTCATAGTAGGAAAGAATTCCTGTTTTTTTTGTAGCTTTTTTTGTTTTTTAAAAAAGTGATCTATGCTATGTTTGAAGATACTGCTTGACATCTTGCATTTTGAGTAGTTTATGTCAGCAGAGTTTAAAACATTATCTGTCTAATCTGCCAATGTTTTACATCTGTATTGTGTTATTAAAATGAGGAAGACAAAATGAAGATATAAGGTTGTGGAGTAGTAGTCAGTCTCTTACAATTCCCTTCTTCCTCTTATATTGCCCTCAAATTCCATGAAATAAATGCATTAAGTTTAAATAACAGCTCTTAGATCAAAACTGTACACATTTTTTTCAGATACAGAGTTGTTGGATATGAAGAGTCATCATCACAGTCATTTTTAGTGGCAGACATGTCCATTTATCTTTTCTCTCATAGAGAAGTAGGGAAAATAGGGTAAATAGATCTCAGATGGATATAAACAGGACCCTGTTCTCAGCACTGATCCATCAAATGATTTGAAGGAGAAGGTTCTTATTCCACCAGCACCTTCAGTAGGCAAATCAAAGTTAGAATACCGGGAAAGCAAATACTGCTGTTATACATCTACTCCAAACTCTTTCCTTCTTCCATACTTTAACCATCATGTTGTTAGCCTTACACATCTGGGGTGGGGTGACATCAAGAGAACAGAGACACAAAAAGGTGGAGGGACACAAATATGTTAGAACAAACCTGAGGACTACAGCCTTCCAAGAGGCCAGCAAGAGGGGTTTGGTGCAATCCCACATGCTAGGTTTGTGTGACAGAGTTTTTGGTAGCAGAGGAGGGGTCTACAGCAGTGGCCCCCTGTGAGAAGCTTCTCAAAGCTCCCCCAACTCCAAGTCAGACCCGCCTCTGGCCAAGGCTGAGTCAATTAGCCAGGGGAATCTGAGAGGGAGGTTGGGACTTGTGAGGATGAGTTACGAGAAGGACACCTATGGAAACACCGATGTCAATGAAAGGAAGGAGGACAAAGTGGGGAAGGTGCACCAGTGCAGAGAACCCCCCTGTATCCCATGGTGAGAGAGCAGGGTGGCTGCCCCCCGCCACCCCATGGAGGTCCACAGTGAAGCAGAGATCCACCTGTGGAGGACCCCACACCAGGGCAAGTGGCTGTGCCTGAAGAAAGCCTAGACTGAATGGGAAGAAGAAGCCCCCAATGTTACAGTTCAGTGCTGGGAGGACTGCAACATGCAGGGAAGGACCAATGCTGGAGCATCTCAGGAAGAATGCATTCTGTGGGAAGGAATCACATTGGAGAAAGTTCATGGAGGACTATTTACCATGAGAGGGACACTATGCTGGATTCTATGAATGCTTAAAGTTCCCCCCTGCTCCCAAGTAGGAAGAGGCAGCAGGCTGACTGTAACCCCATCATTTGCTTCCCCCTGTGTCATTGGGAGGAGGAGGTAGAGATATTGAGAGAAAAAACTGAGCCCTGCAAGAAGGTAGAGGTAGGAGAAGATAATATTTTTTTAAGATGTGATAACACTTCTCACTGTCCTATTCTGTCTGTTAAGTGGTGTTGTTGTTAGTGTTTCAATTAAAGTGATTTTCTTTTTCTTCCCCTAACGAGGCTGTCTTTTACCATAACAGTAATGGTTGAGCACCCCTCCCTGTCTCATCTCAATTCCTGAGCCTTTTGCTTTAATTTCTCCTTCCCATTCCTGAGGTCAGAGGGTTGTATGAACAGCTGCATGGTGCTCAGTTTCCCTCTGGGCTCCAACTGCTATAAAATCCAGAATTACAGTCTGATTGTAAACCGTCTCTATCAAGTGGCTCAGAAGAAACACATTTTCAAATGGGCCCCTGAGCAACAACAAGCCTTTGAACAAATTGTTCAAGCAGTAGATGTTAATGATGTGCTCTACACCACAGCCAGGGAGATCGCCCTACCTGGAGTCTCTGTCAGAGAGCACCAGGGGAGACCCAAGGCTGACCTCTGGGGTTTTAGAGACAGGGATACAGAGGATCCGAAGCCTGATATTCTCCAACTGAAAAAGAGATATTGGCAGCAAATGAAGGAGTTTGAGCTGCTTAAGAAGTAGCTAATACAGAAGCACAACTCCTCTTGGCACCCCAACTGCCCGTGCTGGGCTGGATGTTCAAAGGAAGGATCCACTCTACACACCGTGCAACTGATGCCACATGGAGTAAGTAGCTCACACTGATCACACAGTGGGCTCATAGGAAACCCCAGTCACACAGGAATTCTGGAAATAATCACAGATTGGCCAGAAGGCAAAGATTTTGTAATATCATCAGAGGAGGAGGTGACATGTGCTGAAGAGGCCCCACTGTATAATGAACTGTCAGAAAATGAGAAGCAATATTCCCTGTTCACTGAGGGGTTCTGGCACATTGTGGGAAAACATTGGAGATGGGAAGCTGCTGTATGGAGTCCTATACTACAAGTCACAGAAACTGCTGAAGGAAGTGAATCGAGCCAGTTTGCAGAAGTGAAAGCCAACCAGCTAGCTTTAGATATTGATGAACAAGAGAAATGGCCAGTGTTCTCTCTCTGTACTGACTCATGGATGGTGGCAAATGCTCTGTGACGGCGGTTACAGCAATGGAAGCAGAGCAACTGGCATTGCAGGGGTAAACTCATCTGGGCTGCTGCATTGTGACAAGATATTGCTGCCCATCTAGAGAAGCTGGTTGTAAAGGTACATCATGTAGATGTCCACATACCTAAGAGTAAGGCCACTGAAGAACATAAAAACCACAAACAGGTGGATCAGGGTGCTAAGACTGAAGTGCCTCAGGTACATTTGGGCTGGTAATGTAAGGATTATTTATTTATAGCTCAGTGGGCCCATGAGACCTCAGGTGATCAAGGAAGGGATGCAAAATAGAGATGGGCTTGGGAATTGAACAGTGGTCTTGACCATGGACACCATTGCACAGGTTATCCACGAAGGAAAAAGATGTGCTGCAATCAAGCAAGCCAAGCAGCTAAAGCCTCTTTGGTATGGAGGACGATGACTAAAACATAAATACAGGGAAGCCTGGCAGACTGACTATATGACTTGCCAAGGCAAGTGCCATGTTCTTACAGTGGTGGAAGCAACCACCAGATGGAGAGATATCCTGTGTCCCATGCCACCACCCAGAACAGTATCCTGGCCCTTGAAAGACAAGTTTTACAGTGATATGGCACCCCAAAAAGAATTGAGTTGGACAACTGGACTCATTTCCAAAACAACCTCATAGATGTCTGGGCCAAAGAGTATGACATCGAGTGGGTATATCATATCCCCTATCAATGTTGGGATACACATTTAGCAAAAGCTACCTAGTTAGTTAACAGTAGAGGGTCTACCCATTGAGCTGGCCCTGCTCAATCAAAACTTCCATGTCTTGTAGAAGGGGATAAAGTCCCCATAGTGCCCACGAAGCATACTTCAGAGAAGACAGTCTGGGTCAGTCCTGTTTCAGGCAAAGGCAAAACCATTCATGGAATTGTTTTGGCTCAAGGAACCGGGTGCACTTGGTAGGTGCTGTGGGAGGACATGGAATTTCAACGTGTAACTCAAAGGAATTTGATTTTGGGTGAGAATAGTTAGAATATTAAATTGTATAATGTTAATTGCAAAATAACCCTGCCCCTGTACGTCATCACCACCACAGTTACTGTGTGCTGTAGCAGTGGTATTACAGTAATAATTACCCAAATCAGTGAAGGATGGATTTTGATGAAACCAAGCCAAGTGCTGCAGTGAAGGAACTTGAACTGTCTTCAGCAGCTGGTGCCCATCACTGTCCTCAAGATTGACATCTCCAGCCTGCAGAATGGGAGTACAGGCTGCAGCAAATACACCAGCTCCAGCTGCAGCATGCACGAGTCCAACATCACAGACCATCTCTCCTGCCCTGAAAGACTGTTACAACAGGTACAGCCCCAAAGTCATGGATCAAATAAACTCAGTGGACACGTTAGAGGGAGGGCCCATAGACAAACAAACGACATCTATGTGCATGTATATATATGCGCACGTATATATATATATATATATATATATATATATATATATCAAGGACACAAAAAAAGTGATTGTAAATAATTGGAAACTGTAGGATCTGGACATGATGTAGATGGTGTAGAATAAGGGGTGGATAATGTGGATGCTGGGGACAAAGGATGAGGCACAGGTCAGTGACTGCTGTTGTGGGAAAGGAAGTCCCACAGAGGAGCACTGCTGGTGGTGGGTTGGTAAAAGCCCAGTCCTTTGTTTCCTGGCAGTGACTTAGAGAATCAGCAGCAGCTTCTGCCGTGCCTTCCTAGAGCCACTGACTCTCAAAATGCCCGGCAGCTCTAGGACTCAAACAGAGAGCATTTCCATTTCCGGTGCTGCTGAAACAGTCTGCAGCTGAGCTGAAGTCCCTGCAGTAAGAGCCCTCTCCTCTCTCCTGACGTTTGGTGGAGTGGTGGCAGATGAGCCCATGTTATTTGCCCTCACTTGCACAGTGCCCAGGGCTCGTGCCTTTCCCTCCTGCCTGGGCCTTTTGCTAAACCTGGAAGGGATGGGAAACATTTGAAAACTGGGGAAAGAAAAGGGGACTCAGGCAGCTTGGAGACTGTGGGAGGGGCTGGGCAGCTCTCTGACAAGATCTGCTTTCCCAGCATCTGCAGGAATATGCTCACTGTGTGATGGGAACAAGCCTCAGTGATGCAACAGCTGAGGGATGAGGTGGTGCACCTGGCTGCAGAGTTATAGGCTATGAAGAAGGTGATCCTGCACTTTGGGAAAGAAGGCTGGGATGAGCAGGCCCCACACAAGGCCCTTCCTGGGCCTGTTGGTGGGCTTTTCTGGCTCAGCCCACACACCCATCCCTTGCCAGGGGCTGCTGGTTGAGCTGGTCTGCTGTAAAGCCCCTTCTCCTGGCCAGGACTGATGTGGTTGTTTCCCCTGTCCCTTTCTGTCTTTCTCAGGAAGCTCAGCAAATGAGAGTCAATATCTGCAACCACACAGATGCCTGTCTGGGCTCTGAAAAGCACAGGTATGGAGAGACCTCGGGTCCAAGTGGGGATGTCTCATCACTCTAGGCTCATGCTTGGCATTCCCAAAAGCAGGCTGTGCTGCAGACTCTTCTCTCCAGAGCACAGGGAGATGGGATGAGACCACAGGGCTCAAGAGCACAACTGTGGCAGAGCTGCAGCCTGGGGCTCACTCCAAACCTGCTTTCGGGACCCCCACTGGAGCCCTGACCAAGACCCTGGCAGCATTTCTGCCCTCTCTCAGTCCATGGAGCTTCTCTAGGGAACAAAAGCAAGTGGCCAGGTTGTCTTCTGTTGTCCATGCAGCAGGAGCTCAGCTTGGGTCTATAGCCCTTCCCATGGGGGCTTGGTGTTTCCCAGCAGCCACACACCTTCTCTTTGTGTGGCTGGGGTAGAAAGACTTTCAGTGGGTGCAGGGATCCCCTCCTTTTCCCGGGGCACCTCCAAGGGTGCAGTGCTGTGTGTGGGGCAGGCAGGCAGCCTTACAAGTCACCTGCAGCCACCAGGTCCTCCGAGCCCAGGACCTCTTGCAGTCAGCTGCTTTCTTCTCCCTTCAGGGGCTGCCACCGACCTAAAGAGATCATCCAGCAGCTCTGCAAGGGTCTGCAGGGTGTTTGGATTCATGTGTGCTCCACCCCTTCTGGATACTTTTGTGCAGGTAGAGTAGCATAAACCCTCAGTGCTGCTCCTCTTGCCTCTTAGAAGGTTGGGGCCAAGCCCTAAGGTATCTCCCCTCAGGCCAGTGGTATTGCTGAAGGCCAGGGCACCGCTCTGGTGCCTGACACCTGAGGGGTCACCCAGGGCTTGGCTTCCTAGAAAACAGCAGTTGCCCTCAGAAAGGAGCTGAGCTGCACTGAGCTTTCGACTACCGTCCTCATGGACACCCCTGGAAGGGGCTTCTCCTTCAGGACCCTTGTCCTGGGTTTGTCTAGGATACAGTTAATTTTCACAGGAAGATGGTGGGGGGCACAGCCAGGACAGGTGACCTAAAGTATTTGACACCATGGTGAGGTTATGCTCTCTATATAACTGGAGGGGGTGGCTGGGTGTGGTGGGGGGAGATCAAGGCTCAAGAAGGGGCTGAGTCAGGTGCCAGCTGAAGAGCAATCGCATTGTGCAACACTCGCTTTATATATTCTCTTATTAGTATTGTTGTTGTTATCATTTTCTTCTCTCCTTGTATTGCTTGATTAAACTATCCTTATCTCAAACCATGAGATTTTCATCACACCATGGAGCTGGGAGAGGATTGAATGAGCAGCATGTGGTGCTTTGTTGCCAGCTGTGCCTAAACCATGACAGTCCTTTCTGAGGCCCAATGTGGAGCATGAAGGGTTGAGATAATGGCAAAATATCTGACCAGAGCATGTTAAACAGCTTTCTTATATGCATTTCTTATATTATTCAAATAGTCGCTGGTCATGGTGTTGGTTCATCTGTTCACATGGTGATGTTATGTAAATTCTTATATGCAGTATGTATTCACTGCAGTCATGTTTATCACCCCTGGGAGAGGGATCCAGACTATCATTTTGCTATACTGGGTAATGTTGACTTATGACATGATTACATCACTGGTCACGAGGTTAAGCTGGTATTCGTATGCAGCATTGTCATAATTCCTGTACCTCAGGCACCTTCTCTTGAAATTTATTAGTAATTACACCCAAACTATGGGAAGGCAGTATGGGATACTTTCTCCTTCAGGCTTATTATAACAGCTTTTGAGAATTTTTAATATCCTTGGAATGTTCAAGGCAGCATGCTCTTATTGCTATGTATCCTGAATGTGTCTCAGGTCTTGTTTAAGGTTACACCAAAAAATTTCAAGAATACCACCCAGAGATCTGCTGGATCACCCAAGGCTGGATAGTCATGGGTGGCATGGCATGTGGAAAAATTTCTCACCGTCAGTGATTTCGAATTTCACTCCCCAAAAACTTCAGGATCTTGATAAAGTCATAGAACATTTGAAAATAAAATGCTGTGGCTATTACAAAAAGGCAGTTCTCCACAAACCTCTTCATGAAGAGCCTATATGCTCTCCATGAGTATTTACCCATTATCAGTGGAGGCACAGAGGCATGGGTTGTGAGCTTCAGCATGAGGCAGAGGTACTGGAGTGCCTGTGAGGTCCTTCCAACCTTCCACCTATGGGGTTCTTAGACCTTCCAAAATGCTAGCTACACACAGATCCTACCTGGCCCCAGAGCT